CCCGCCACCCGCCACGGCATCAGGCAGTTCCCATGACGAAGTGCGTCACTACACAAGGACCATGTTTGGCCAACCCAACGACCGCCGTGGGCTGCCCACCTTGACGACCAGTGCGCTGGTCGCTCGACCGCTGCACAGTGTCCCACCTCCCAGTCCCAAGACGGGTTGCGGTACCCGAAGCCCAGCTGCAAAACAGTAGGCGAAAAAAAGAGAAAAAAAAAAAAAAAAAAAAAAAAAAAAAAAAAAAAAAAGCTTACCTCAACAAGATCTCCTCCGCCAATCCTTGCCGTAGCAGTTTGTGAATAGTGGAAGTTCAATGTCAGTAACCCCACGGACTGTCGCAAATATACTCCGACACATACGACACCTACGTCCAGAAAAGCAAGCTTCAAGTGCAAAATCGAGGGTCTTCCTCAATTATTTGAGAAAGGCTGGGCGTCAACTGAAAGGCCCAGCAGGCTCGGAAACAAAAAAAAAAAACCGGTTCGGCGAAGTGCTCCGGAGGGTACTGGTGGTTTAATGCGGAAGTGTGTTGAGATCCATACTTGTTAAACTTTATAAATAAGATGAGCAATGTACTCGGATTGCATTGGACAGTTTAATTTTTTAGGTTATCCCAAAGATGTACACACAGGCCCATCCTCTCACGTGAGACGATTGTTTGGATGTTTGATGAGATCCGGACTTGTTTAGAAAACTTAGTGAAATGACAGGCACGCCCATCTGGGAACCCTACCAGTGTGCGGAAGTGTGCTGAGATCCGTACTTGTTAAATTTAAAGTTTATAAATATGATGAGCAAGATGTCCTGATTGAATCTTTGTTGGATAATACATTTCTTTACTAGGTTATCCCTAAGTTGTGCAAGAATACCCATCATCTTGCCCGAGACGGTTGTTTGGATGTTGAAGGGATCCGGACTTCTTTAGAATACTTAGTGTGCTGAGATCCATACATGTTTACAATTATGATGAGTAGGGTGTATTGTAGCAACCAGTTAATGTTGATATACAGGTTTGTTTTGTGCAACAACACATGTCATATTACACAAGAACTTCAAATTTTGCTTATTGACGATCGAAATCCGCACTTTAAATGACCATGCACAAAAGGTTTGGGTACAAACGCAAAGTTGTTGGTTACATGTAATGCAGGTGGTCATAAGGCATGTGATTCTATGCACACGCAAGAGATATCATGCTACTCATCTTTACTTAATGAACCACATACTCACAAACTCGCTGAGATTTGTCATGCATCCACAGACCAATTTGTCAATCATATGCACACTTTTGGTTGAGTTCAATAAAAATTGAAACATGGAACGCAATGTATGTTATGTTCCACCGCATGAGAGACGACTGGGATGAGGCAGAGATGACAAAGTCTATACACGACGTCGGATATGCAATGAGCCTGCTAAAGATAACTCAAACTCGCAATGATAAAAAAAAACAATGTCGTTGTCAAAACGACAGTTGCATAATGCCATGATTTACAAAATATAATAATTAATAAATAAAATACTTTCAAAAGAAAGTTTCTAAGTCAATCAAATCCATTAAAGACAACGACGTCCTAAGATACATGATGTCAATTGTCGTCGAATAAGCGGGATATTTTTACAAGAGAACCTAAAAGGTGGTCGATCACCACGTTGTAACAGCGTCGCGAACGTCAATATGAACACCCCGCAACTAGTTCCATCCACTTGTCTTGGAACTCCTTCCACCACAACATTTCCCACTATCGACTTCCAACTTCTACCCGACCGCGTATGTGATGTTTGACGTTCCAAATACTGTATCAATCAACTCGAAACCACTAATGTTATAACTTGAATCAGCTACAACGCGAGAAAAATAATCAAAAATTTCGAGGATATCATCTCTCAAGTTGACGGAAAGGAGGATCCAGTGATCATTATCTTTGTGGACCGGAGCGAAGATAATATCGTATCGAAGCAAATCTACGTTTTTAGCCCACCTCTCCACCCCACTGTGTCTTGAAGTTGCAGTTAGCTTAAGAAGAACGAATTGAAGCTGAAGACTTGAAGGCCTGACGAAATGTCACTTGACGCACATGCGGTTGACCCCAATAGCGCCATATAGAAATTGATCACCTCATCATTCACTCTTTCGTCGATATGCAAGAGGGTGAGGATATCTTTTGTTGCAATTCGCAATTCACCATCGGTCGGGATGGAAAGAACAGTATGAGGTGACACCGAGCCTCGTTTAATGTCGTCCAAAACCCGCAAGCTTCGAGGCGTAGTCGCTGCAGCGAATCTTTCCCCTCCTGTTCCACGTGTTGTGGCCCGCACTGCACAACATCGAGCAAAGGACACGTGGGGTAGTGAGAAACAGAGTTCTAAGCATTGTCCCTCGTTGCACGTGTTGCTAAGTATTTCTCATACCTGGCCTGACCCCTACTCACAGATCGTGGATATGTCCCTTTCTCTGGGCCAAAAGGGAAAGACATTCCTCAATGGCAATAACATGCTCCTTCTTCCCAATCTCGACATCAACCCCTGATGTCTTTAACATATCCTTGTGTTTTGTCGTCAACCCGAGGACTTTCTGGAATATATGTTCCGGATATTTCGAGGACCTCCGTGTTTGAGATGACCCCACCCCTGTACAACAGAAGAAAGACAGAACAGAAAATGAATATACGTTTTCCAACACGAATCCGACGGAAGTGACAATGTGAGAACCATATAATCGTAAAGACACACCAGTCACGCAAGACCTCTCCAATTACACAACCCAGATTTTGCATGGTCATGAGCACCGAGGTGCGTGTGTAAGGCTGGAAAACGAAACGATTAGCACATTCGAGCTTAACATCCCCGCCCTTGACAAAGGGAAACCACTACAAGTCGTAGAAGTAAAAGACCAACATTCCCCGAAGTTCGGATTGCGGCGGACTTTTTCCCACAGCGGGCCCACAGAGACTAACCACATTACGCATCGACATAGGAAGTTCGGATCCCGACGGACTTAAACCACCACTCTTTACGAGAAGAAAAAACCTTCATTCCATTTAGTTGACCATTACCTTAGCCGGGGAGACTTTTGCGAGGGAATGCTTCAATAAAAAAACACTTCATAGAAGGATAGATCCTTCCTTCCATGGAGTGTTATGTTTTCGATGAAGTCTTCCTTGCCCACGACTAGCAACCTGCCCGTGACCTGTAGTTGGAAGGACTGGTGGCTGTAGTATGTCGACATCCGAAACTTCCCGTATCGATAGACAGTGTGGACATTTGACGTGTGTATGACGCGAACTGTAGTCCATCGACATCCAGACTACGAAGGAAGCCCCGCTCTCGTTTTCGTAAACCTGGGCGCACATACAGTGTGGCGTTCTTCACAGCTTCCCAGCCGGTTTGTCTCTTCGCTCCTTCGTCGGTGAAGTTGGCGCGGGCAAAGCGAGCACGTCGAGGGCTTGAGTGCCGACCCTAGATTTTTAAGGGGATGTGATATGTTGTCGTCCCCTGACCTCGCCTTCCATTCCGTCGGCGAGGGTGGTCGGCAGTATCGGTGAGTTCGGTGGCGAGAAAGCGAGGGTAGCTGCCACGAAAGATTTGACGTTGCGAGCGTCGTCAACGTCAGGCGTTGTGGATGGATGCGCGGACACGTGCTGGTTGCCGAGGATACTGTCGATAACTTCTTCGATGCTTATACGACGACTTGCTCTAGATAGACTCATAGCAACGGAAGCCTCGTCGAACCGGTGTTGCAGATTGACGACGGACGTCAGTGGTTGATCCTCATAGTCTTCAGGCTGTGCAGAAAGGTTGCTAACCACTTGTGTCTCCATCTCGATTGCCATGGCATCGTCGTCGACATCATCCTCGTGATGCTCTCCGTACAGTTGTCCGAACTCGTCAGACGACTCTCCAGATCCGGCATCGTCCTCACTGTCCTCCCCCTCGCCGTCTCCAATACCCACATCCTCTAAGGCACCCTCTGTACCTTCAAGCAATTCAATCAACTCCGTTTCTCCCCCTTCCTCCCCTTCCTCCCCTGTTTTCCCTTCTTCCTCGCCTTCTTCCCCTTCCGTCCCTTTCTCCATTTCCTCCTCTCATTCCCTTCCATGCAATCCAAACCTTCTCTGGTACCCGTGTTGAATCCCGGCGACCGCCCTTGTGTCTCCATGCATGCTGCCCCTCCTAGTGGTACGACAATCCGTGGACGACCCCCCCCCCTGAAGAAGTTCGGATCTCGGCGGACTTCGTCGTCTCTGTGTTGCTGGACCCTGCACTTGTAGGTTGTCGCTGCAATCCTAGCGGTCGTCGCTCGCGCTCAGGCGACACATTTTCGTCCCTCACCGCACCGCTACCAATTGCGGGACCCTGGCTCGGCTCCCCCGACCCCGAGGGGCTCTGCACGGTGGACCGCACTTGCGGCACCTCAACCGATGTAGTTCGGATCCCAGCGGACTTCAACGTTCCGCCTGAGCGGCCGCCGAGAACAACCAAGGTTGCCAACGTCTCCCTCACTGAGTGCACAGACGAACTCGAAAGGTTGGCGGACTGCGTCGCAGGCTCCGGCTCGGGGTCGGTAGACGGATGTCGATCAACGACGAAACCCGCCACCCCACTGCTGCCTCCCAGTGTCGTGGTACCGCCGTGAGAACGTCCATCCCCAGTACGTGGAACTCCTCTTCCACCCCCCGCACTGCCAACCCTGTCCCGTCCACCGCCAGTTGCCCCCCCCCGAAACTCCCGTGCGCCCCACTGGGAGGGGGCACTTTCCAGTCCACCATGCCCTTCGACGGGCTCGTGTCGAGCTCGTAATAATCCTCCGTCAATTCCAACCAGCACTTGTCCTGAAGCTCGTCGAACAGTCGCCCAGTTGTGGAAACAACGGACAAGTCCTCGGGTGCGAACGTGTCATTTTCGACCCTCACTTTTTGGAGGACCGAAATCCTCGCGAGGTGCATGAAATTGGACTTCGACTCACGAGGGATGGACACCCATCCCTATCTCGGTACTGCGACGACCATGAACCACTCGCCCTTTTGTATCGCAGGCTGGATGACTCCTCAATGCCAAATCATGTCATGGCCCCTGTCCACCTCAGACGAATGACTTTGTGGCTAAGAAGGAAGTGGATGTTGTCATCCTTCCAAAACGGATGATCGGGCGAGGCGTAGGACCCGGGACACAATGCGGGCGGGGGGCCAGCCAAAGCTCCCAGTCTCTCCAACAACTTCATCGGAGTGGTGCCCGGCACCGGTCTGGCCATCGACGACAGTAGGGGTGTCGGGCTTGTCGACGGACCGACCGACGAAGACCCTCGGGCGTGCTCCGTCAGAGCTGGGTCATACGGCAGGTCGAGGCTCTCGGTGTCGCTTTCCTCCTCCTTCGCGTTGGCATCGAACTCCACACCGGTGACTGCCTCGTCATCAGTGGAGATGAAGGAAGCGTAACTGTTGAACTCCAACTCCTCCTCGAAGTCAACGAAGTAAAGGGACTGCAGCCTTTCGAGAAAGGTCTTCGCGTTCATGCAGGAGGCGAAATGGGGGTTGTTGAGCAACACCAACATGTGGTCCCTGCGGCGGACATACTCGGCGTCAGTGTCCTTCCTTGGCCGCGTTTGAAGGAACAAGAAGTCGTATATCCTGTTCCTCTTCCCCTTACTCAACTTGAACCACATGTCCGTCTTGTTGCTCCACACCAGATCTCGTGTCGCCTTCACGACCATGAACTCTCAATTGTGGGCCCCCGAATTCACCTCGTTTTTTATGAGTTGCATCGTGAATTGCAAGAGGCCGAAGTTCCCTTCCCTCGCGACAACGTTCTGGCCTGCCTTCAGTAGTTCCCACACGCTTTGCGCGTGCGGCTTCCCAAGAAAGACGACACCCTCTCCCTTTTTGCTAACAGAATCGCGAAGACCGACGACTTGTGTCGGATTGCTGCCCTGTCTTTCAGGCGTGGTCTGCGACCAGTTGCAAGGCGTGAAGGGAATCTCCGACACATCCGTCTGGGTAACCTTCTGCGGCAATCGCACCACAACAGCGGCACCCCTTGGCGGCCTTCCCTCGTAGACGAGGGACTTGTTGACGTGCAGATCGTCACCCTTGAAGAGGATGTACATGAGGTCGTCTTCCGTGTACAGATTGTTCCCCACAGGGAAGCTTTTCTTTTGCTGGCTCCTCCTCACCAATTTCCCTTCCAACAATTTTACGAAAGAAAGATGGTGCATGCTGGCCAGAAATGAGAGGTTGTGCTGCCGCGACACGAAAACAACGACAGTCCAATGCGACAGACACCACGTCTGAAGAAGATAAGAATTCAAAGTCTCGAACGCTTGCGGTTTCCATAGCTTCAGGTCAACCGGTTCGCACAGATCGACGACGAAAGTGTGGCTCTTTATGGTGGTCACCGCTTCCTTCAGGTCTGCACTCCTGATGTCAGCCTCCAAAGGGTCGTTGCCGAACGGTGCGATGGATGTGACGTCCCCCGTGTCTTTCCATTTTATGCGCACAATGCCTTCGACAAGTGCGATCTCCCGACTCGTCAGCCTGCTCCCAGTCAACATGAAGAGAACCTTGTTTCTCCAGTGGATGGTCAACTTTCTGTGGCCGACCAACTTTTCCATCACCTCGATCGAGTGGTCGTCGTCGCAACCCATGTACGGTGGGCAGTCCTTGAACAACGTCGCATCAGAAACGTATTTCCTGCTACCATCCTACAAATCGCTATTTAATCCTCGATTTTCGAACTTTTTGAAGACGGCAGACCTCGATTTCTGAAAATGGTATTTTTGGATCCAATCCGCGTTCGGCCTCTTCTCGTGCTTGAATTGGTAGTAATTCCACAACCGGACCAACACGCGGTTGCACTTCACCAACTGCACCATTTCCTGCACACTCAACTTCCCCAGCTTCGCCAACGACGGGGAGCCGACCTGGACCCAAACGACCTCACAAGCAAGCACCTTCTTCAGAACGTGACACTTCTTATTGTCGGTGAGTGCTTCCATCACTTTCGAATAATGCGTGTCCGGCTCAGGCACTTGCACGAACGAATTGCCCTCCTCTTTCTCCTTTTTGCCTTTCTTAGTCGGCGGCTCCACGGGGACGTTGTAAGTGACCTCCTTTTTGCCCAACTTGTCGTTGTCGATGTAGGCGACCCCCGACTTTACGTTTTTTACCTTCTTCTTCTTGACGATCCACTTTGCTCCGTCGTGGCCCAGCAACCTACCTGTCTCTCATTTTTCAAAAAATTCAACGGCCAGTTTCTGGACATTCTTGCGGGCCATCTCCAACGGAAAATAAGAACGCAGGGCAGCATTTTGTTTCTTAATGGCATCCTCTCTCTTTTTATCAGCGAGAATCCACAAGTTCTTGTACGGCGTCTTATGAAGCGCCACCGCACAGAACTCCGAGTCACACCATTTCCGGACTTGTTTTTGTTTCCCGCTAGGGTTCCCCATGACAGCTCTGGGAAAACCGTCATGCTTCCACTGCCACCGAATGTCTTTCATGGACAGTTTCAATTGTCTAGGAGGTGCCATGAGGTCTTTCTTGTTGTCCTGGGAACTAACAAGAAAATACCCTTCAAAGTTGTTGTCCGAAAAATACACCATTCTACCATCTCGTTGCCGAGCAACGATCAGGCTGCAGCCGCGTTGTGCTGCCCAGAGACTGCGTAGTAGTAGTATTGTCCCGCCAGCTCGTCCCTCCACTCCTCCGGCTTCAGACGTTGTGCCTTGTTCTCAGGAGTTGTTTTTTGCAGCCCTAGCGGTGCCAGCTTCAGGGTTGGCAATTCGTACGACTGTTCTTTGTTTTCGAACGTCAACCGCATCACTTATTTGATCCCTTCAACAAGGACGGGATCCAGTGACCGCTGGTTGTACAAATACTCCCACTCCCCGAGGTCGATGACCTGAGAAGGGCTAATCTCGAACTCCCGCTTCGTCCTGACACCGTCTTTGTACTCCGGGAAGGACCCGGCGTCGACATCGATGGCAAGTCGTGGCGAGGAAGGTCTCGATTCAGCCTGCTTCTGTTTCAAAGCCTGACGTTTGCTACCCGGGCGGTCTTATTCCCCCCCCGTTCCCTTTCGTTTCTCCCCCACACTCTTCGGGCCCTTGGTCTTCTATTTCTTCGAAGAGCCGACAACATCGTGTTGACGATCTCCCCTCCTCTTTTGTGGAGTGCCATGCGTTCCCTCTCCGCCCACGCTCTCGTCCTCCGTGCCATGGCCCTTGGCAGTCTCCAAGTCAACCTCACAGTGGACTGCCGCCTTTCCAATGCCTCAGTGATCTCCTCAAGAACTTGATCTGCTTGCTGGAACCCAGGTATAGACAGCACGGACTGGTCTCTTCAACTTAACGGCGAAGACGTCGGCAGCGGTGTTGCCTCATCTTCGCTGTCGTCGAATTAACCGCGACTCCCCCCCCTCTGTAGCTGTGTAGCTGCATCGGAACCCAGATCCCCCCCCTCCGGCGCCGCCCCGCTGGATTCACAACCGCCACACAACTGCAAGGGCTTTGACAGCTCCCGGTCGGGGCTGACATCGCAAGGGACGTCGAGGCCGACATCCTTCTCATCCAACAAGTTAAAACTCTCGAGCCAAAACAAACCCGCCCTGCCGAAGGGGGTCGTTGTAGAACGGTGTGTTCACAGCACCCGCTACGAACCCCTCAAACAAATCCGTGTTCAGCAGTGCCCCCTTGGAATTAGCGACGACGTTGCCCTTCACACCGTAAACATTTTTCATATTGAACCGGACTGCCTTTCGCGTCCTCCCACCGCAAGACGGCCCCCAGCAGCCTACGTCGCTTGTTGGTCTCGATGAAGATGACAGGACCTCACGGCTGTTTAACGGGGTTCGAAGCATCTGCACAGCACCAGTCGACGAACCATTTCGACCTCGGGTGGTCCGACCACGATTTCAAGGCCGTAAACGACCGTCTTGTGGAATCTTTTCCTGATTCCTTCCCGGAGGTCCCAGCAGGCTCCTCCTCGCGCCTCGACGAAGACATCGTGTTTGCACACGACAACGCAAATGAAGCAAACCACCAAGCTGTCAGGTTTGGGAAAACCAGAGCATTAACAGTCCTGTCACAGTCAAACGAGAACGCAGGCGGTAACGAAGCATCACAAACACAGGCGACAAACACTGAATTGCACAAGTCGGCCTTATCACGTCTTTTCAAAAGCGAGAAGTTCAGATTACGGCGAACTTCGCACACAGAGCCCTTCAACAACCCACGTCGAACGACCATTCCTTGTGCGGGCCTCGATGCGGCTATCATTTGCACTGGTGCTGATGGCTGCTGGTGGAAATAACCGAAGTTCGCCAAGATCTGAACTTCGAATACAGCGGGAATGGTAGTGCGGTACACCAAAGTCACAAACAGTGCTCAAAATAGATCCATACCCAACAAGAAGGCCTACCAAATTTACCCCATTTGCAATTGAGCATCTCGAAAGACTGCCCGAACAACTGATAACCATATGGACATGGAGGGGAATTTTGTTTGTGGAGTGCAAAACTCTGCTCAAAACAGATCCAGATCCAACAAGAAGGCCAACCAAAATTGCCCCAGTTGCGATTGAGCATCTGAAAAGACTGCCCGAACAATTGATAACCTGCGGGAACTGGAGGGGAGTTCTGTTTGTGGAGTGCGAAACTCTGCTTAAAACAGATCCAGATCCAACAAGAAGGCCCACCAAACTCGCCCCAGTTGTGATTGAGCATCGTGACATACTGCCGAAAAACTGATAACCTGCGGTAACTGGAGGGGAATTCTGTTTGTGGAGTGCGGAACTCTGCTCGAAACAGATCCAGATCCAACAAGAAGGCTCACCGAACTCGTCCCTAAGAGTGCTTTTGGCATTTCGCAAAGACAACGAACGACTGTTTGACACTTCTTGTAGGTGGTCGGGCGCCAACTACATCGGGATCGAAGCCATTCTGCACACGGGTGTATGGGCCAGAGTTGCAACGATATTTTGTAAAGCACGGATGCCGGCGGACTTAGATTGTGGGTGTGTCGCACGGGAATCCTTGGGTGTTCCTGTTCGTAGCTCGCGCCGCCCCAACACCGAAACTGAAGGCAACCCCTTTCGTTAGAACTCGAAGTACGGATCCGGACGGACTTGGTCGTTGTTCAAATCCACAGGGTGCCAGGAAGCCCGCGAACATATCGTATAATAGGTGGAGACACGAAGTTCGACAGTGTACGAACTTCACGAGGGCGCGTGAGAGAGAGAGAGACATCTCTCTGTCAAACTCGTAGTCCCACATTCTCCTGAAGTCCGGATCCCAGCGGACTTCACATATCGTGAAGTCGGACAGCAGAAGAAGTTCGGATCATGGTGGACTTCGCATGTTCATCTGCCCTCTGATGCGCCTGCGGATTTCGACAGCAACAAGATTCATGCTCGTGCTACTGTCCAAATCCACAGGCTCATCAGAGGGCATACGAAATATCGATAGCCGGAAATGCCGAAGTTCGCCAGGATCCAAACTTAAGGAGGCCGGGATAGAGAGACACGGTGAAAGAGACACATGATCCGTAATTCTGTGGTTGTTGAACTCAACGAGGATCCGGGAAGTCCACACTCACATCAGAGGTCAGTTGAAAATGAGAAGTCCGCTGGCATCCAAACTTCTTCTGCTGTCTGATTTGGCGATATGTGTAGTTTGGCACCGGATGCAGCCAAGTTCGAATGCAGTAGCAGGGCTAGCATGTTCTGTGACCCTGTTCGGGTAGAATAAGGAGTCCGGATTCGGGCGAACTCGGGTTGTTGTTGCAATCCACGGGGGATCAGGAAGACCACTTT